AGGGATGTGGATGCAGTGTAATGGCACAGAGGCAGTGGAGGATTCAGAGGGGTAAAGATAGATGTTATCAACACGCTAATGCTACTGTTTGAATAATGTAACCAAGCAGTAATATGTAAATGTCAATGAAGAAGGGACCGAGGATGGAGCTTTAGTAACTGCTGAGGTGATGGGGTTGAGTTGGGAAGAGAACTAGAAAATGCTGGAAAAACTCATCAAGTTTGGCAGTATCTGTTGGAGACAGAAAATCAGAGTTAATGTTTCAAGTCCCATAACTGCAAAATTGAAGGGTAAGAGTAAAAGTTTTGCCAAGGATGAGGCCATGACAGGTTGAAGAGTGAGGTTGTCATTAAAAACAGAAAATGCTGGAGAAAATCAACAAGCCTGGTAGCACCGGTGGAGAAAAGAACAGAACTAACATTTCAAATCTGATATGAAATCTTCGGAACAAACATAGCACTAGAGTCAAAGCCAACTCAAAGCATTGACACACTCTCTCTCTCTCTGCAGATTCTGCCAGGCCTGCTGAGTTTCTACAGCACTTTCTGTTCTTATTTCGGGTTTCTAGCATCTGCAATAATTTTGTTTTTATAAGGGTGAGGATGTGTTTTGAGCAAGTTTGGCAGCTTCAGGATGGAGGATCAAAAATGCAACGGTTTTCAAGAGTGTATTTGTAAGTGACTTGAGTGGCTTTTTCTAGAAACGGATGCAGGAGGAAGAACCCCTGATAGGTTATCTCAACACCAGGATGTCAATATGACACTCAATGAAGTTATGGTTTGAATAAGGCCTTGTTCATAGAGTAACATTCATTCTGAAGGAAGAAGAAGGTGAAGGGTGGGGATAGGGGTGGGGTTGTTGCAGAAGGAGTTTAATGATTTTGGATCTGCAGGTAGAGTCCAGGAGAGTTGTGGTGGATGTTGTCTGAAATTTGAAGGCGATTAATGAAATTAGTGCCAGCGGCTGTGTTTGGATAGGTATGTCTTTGGGAGAGAAGGCAGGCAGTTGCAGTTATAGTTGCTAAGAAGGCAACAGATGCTTCGATTCTCCTGGGTGAGATCAGCAGAACATATGGTAGCCTGAGTGCATCCAGGCCTAGAACCAGAATCTAACAGCAAGTAGGCAAAACTAATGGCTTAAAAATGTGAATCACTTGTTAACAAGATTGACAGATACTAAGTTTCCATAGTCAGTGATATTGAGAAGAATTGTTTAATGCACATACTTTCTCAGTGCATACACATCAGTTGGAAATAATTAATTTGGTGGCAACTGTGATATACCATAGAAACAAAAATAAATTCTATCTTGGTGCAGCAACAGGAAAGATAAGCCATTTGGAAGAGGTTTACCCACTCTTTCCATTAACTTACTTGCAGTAAATGGAAGTTGATAAGAATCCTAAGCAAACTTCTGATTAGATTTCTTTCAGTTCAGTTTACCTCTGTACATTCGCAGACTTTGTGAAGAAGTAGCTAACTTAGTATAATCTGTGTGTTTTGTCCTGTTTGTCAAAGTTTAAGTTTCTTCTGGAACAGCAATTTTCAAACTGAATTTTTTTTTTGCACCACTTTATATCCAGATATATGTTGTAAATAAGTGCCATTTCCAGCAGGAATCAAGACCACAGCTCATAAAAATATAAGGCGGAATTTTCATTGTGTTGTTTTCACAGTAAAATAGCTTTGAGGTCTGCTGTTACCATACAATGGAAATTCCTTTTCTTTCTCTCTCTCCTTTTTCTTTTTCTTCTTTTTCTTTTTCTTTTTCTTTTTCTTTTTCTTTTTCTTTTTCTTTTCTTCTTTTTCTTTTTTTCTCTCTTTTTTTCTTTCTCTTCTCGCTCTCTTTTTTTTCTTTTTTCTCTCTTTCCTTTTCTGTCTTTTTTTTTCGTTTTTTCTTTTTTCTCTCGCTCTCTCGCTCGCTCTCTCTCTCCCCCTCCCCCCGCAGGCAACAGACTGTGTTACTAGGAGCCAAGAAAATTTACTGAATGGTTTGTTAGTCTCGAATCAAAGCATGATTTAGAACAATTCTGTACAATGCTCTGACTTTAAAATGCCGCAGGGTAGCTTTGCTCTTGGTTAGGAACATTGAACAGTTTGTGGAAGCAGTAAGCGCCAGTAAGTATGATCTATA